TAAGTAGACCCTGATAATGTGCACCTGTGTATTACTTAGCTTATTCACATGCGTTCACGCATACGCGTGCGCATCTTTTTAATAGCGAAAAACCACATTAAAAAGAACATGGGAGGCTATAGCTCCAAGGAGAAAGAACCTAGAAACCTGGAATTTTGCACCCGTACTAAGTGAAAAATGAGGGTGTGCACCTGCGTAGTATTACTTATCCACGTGCATGCATAATGAGGCAAGCTATAGAAAAAACACATAGAAATGAAGTGATTCCTTATATTACAAACAGAAATCACAGACAGTCAGACTGCGCGCGCATCGTTTTATGAGACAAGCTAGCGAAAAAACACATAGAAATGAAGTGATTCCTTATATTACAAACAGAAATCACAGACAGTCAGACTGCGCGCGCATCGTTTTATGAGACAAGCTAGCGAAAAAACACATAGAAATGAAGTGTGAATATTGTTAGCAAGGTTTTGATATATGAATGAAATTCTCTGAGGTACTATCAACTCAAGAATAATCAACATCATCAGTAGGAACTTTTCGGTGTACCAACAATATCTTTTTAGTTGCCAAGTCAGTGAATTTTATATCTTTCAACAATAACAAAAACGACGTTTTATGTAAACATAGCAGTTTTTTTTTTTTAAACAGTGATTATACTGTTCCTTTTAACAATATCGGTACTACGTTTTTGGTGCATCAGCGACACTTTCTTAGCTATCTAACAATGACTATAGTTTTTCTTATTAATATTCAATATGAATTTTTGATTTATCAACGCCATTTTAGTTTTGGTTACCAAATCAGTGAACACTGTCTTTCTCAACATCGCGATGGGGTGAATAAGTTGGTCATTCAGAAACTATACTGTCACAATAATTGTATCAAGCATTAGTTAATGGTGTAGAAATCACAGACAGGCAAACACTCACGTGCGTGCGCACATGCGCCTGCGAATCTTTTAATGAGACGAGCTAGCGAAAAACCACATGGAAAAGAAAAGGTTCCTTATATAGCAACTTTTAATATATAGAAAAAGCCATGGCGTTTTGGTAACAATGCGTTCCAACAATGGCTTTTATAACATGTTGCTTAGCAATAAAAGTATAACCTAATATTGTGCTGAAAGTATATAATGAAATGTATAAACTACATAATTGAAAAAAATATATTTGTTGTTTACTAATTTAGAGACTCCATTAATTAAAGAGGTTTATTTTTTATTATTTAAGTTTAAAATCGGAGGACAAGTTAGAGGGAAAGCTACCTTTAAAAACAGGTCACATCCCGTAAAGGAGCTACAAAAGTATATAGGTCATACTTTTATGCTAAAATGGGTTCAGAATGCACACACTGACTTAGTGGTCTAGAATAAATCAACCCAAGCGAAGCCGGGTACTTTCGTTATTATATCACAATTTTTCAATAAGAATTATTAAAGAAAACGTTACCTGAGAAGCATTATGAAGTAATCTTATTTCCGTGAATATGAAATATATTTTGTAAACGTTAATACAATTTATCGGTATCTAGCACATAAATTGGTAAAGTAGGCTTGGCAATGACTTACAACAAGACTGTATCAATGCAGGTTTTTTTTTTAAGTACACGTTTTTAACGTGTAGCCTGCCGAAGAGAAGAAATATTTCGATCACTGATAAAAAAAAGCATCTCCTATAGCAATTTTAAGGATAGCTCCCCATCCATGTAAGTTAGAAATTTTCTGAAAAACTAAAACCTGAGACGCAGTGGTATTCGAACACGATTCTTTGCAGCAGTTCACGGCTACAGTATTTATTACCCACTGACATATAGGAAACAGTATTGGATAACGACGCTTCTTGTCATGACCCTTTTGAAAATTGAAAAATATATTTGCTCTTATCGGTTTAATCCGAGCCATGATATGATTATATATCCACATTTATATGGCTTAAGCAACTGCCTAAACACATCAAATACTCAGTCTCTTGCATATGCAAATATATACGTGTGAGCTCTAATACAGTAGCCAGTTAAAACAGTTTCGTTGACCCTTTAAAGAGTTGCAGTAATTATTTAATCGTTACGCGTTTTCATTTAAAATATATATGTGTGTGTGTGTGTAGTAAAAAATTGGGGAAGTTTAGACAAACAGGCAGGAATCATTTATACATAAGATATATTTTTTATCTTTTCCATCTTCTTTATAATAGCGATTCAGCAAACTTCGATATCAGAACATCTTACGAGATCCATGGACGAATTACAGCTTTATAATAGCTAAAACAAACATTAAGTTAACCAATATGTTAAGGAAACTCATAAAATTATTCACTCGAATAATTTGTTTGTCTTCTCGTTATGTGCGGCGCTATTTATATTTGCTTAGTTGTTCGAAAATCTTTATATGTATATATAGTTAGGTTTGTACTTTTAGGAAATTAATGTCTCTTTTTTATCGCATGTGGAATCAAATAAGGGTAAATAAAATTAAATCGATTAGACTAAATTATAATCTTTAAAAATCTGTATTTCATGTACTGTTTTATTTTTATCTATGATAATAAAAGAACCTGTCTGTGTTTGTGTGACCACCATAGCTCCAAGAGGAAAGAACCTAGAGACCTGAATCTTTGCACGCATACTAAGAGGATTCTGAGGGTGTGCAATTAGGTATTATTTTTTAGATTTAAATCAAAAAAATTTGGGACATTTTTTTCCCCTATGGCCATAATTCTGCTTCCTGAAGGTCTATAGAAAAGTATAATATTTATTTCAAATTCTTACTTACTGAAAGAATGAACAATACGTTAAATACTCTTTTTTAACAGAAACATGGGAAGAAAAATACAAATCTGAGAATTGAAAAAAGTTGAATGGAGCTAAGTTTGGGGAAACGATAACAAACAACGAGAAAAAATATGAATTAGAGGATATTGGAGAATTCGGAGAGTGAAAAGAATTCAAATGAAAACACAGGATGAAAAAACGAATCAGAGAAGCTGAATTAAAATTGTTTGCTTTTTAGAAAGAAATGAATTGAGTTATGTTCGGTAACAGACAAATCATTGGAGTAGCTATAGAAGTAATTAAGGTAATGGAGGCGCTTGACTGATACACTGATTCTACCATGAATCATCAGGGGATCTCAGAATTTCACAGCAGAGCGTAGGTGTTTTATCCTAGTTCTATATAGTATATTATAAACAAAGTAACAGAAAATATTCAAACTTACCATCCATTTAGAATAGCCGAGTTTGACTAGTATTATAAAACTACATATCTGACACAAAACAAGCTTGCTTTGCATGAAATTATTCATTTGAAATTAACTTTCATATCTGCTATGTTTCGATGATAAAATGACTGTTCTTAAAATTACCCAGAAGATTAAATGTTGACTCATTTTTCGATATACTAAAATAGGACTTACTTGCATAATTGCACCGCTAATAGAGAATTTGGTAATTATTCGTTGTAATTATAAAGAATGTAACCTGATTATAAAGTTTGAATAATATGAGTATTATTCTTGCCCGATTTTTGTCAGACCTATGTGAAATGTACGTCTTGTTATAGTAAAGACGTCGACATCAGCATAAACCGATTTCCTGAGTTAACTGGAATATTATAAATTGCAACTATATATTTTTGTTGCCCCCCCCCTCCCCCAGTGGCACAGCGATATGTCTGCGGACTTACAACGCTATAAACCGATACCCGTGGTGGGCAGAGCACAGATAGCCCATTCTGTAGCTTTGTGCTTAACTTCAAATAAACAAAATATTTTTGTTTCCAGCGAAAAATGGAATTATTTTTTTTTTAAATGGAGAAAAACTAAACTAAATAGCAATTCTAAATACTAAACTGTTTGGCATTCTAGTGTCAACATAATAACTTTACATGTATATATTATGTCTAACTATACAAAAATTAATTTTCTATTATAAACATTTCTCTGAAATAAGTTTACCAATAATTATTTAACTTTTATAAATAATAGTTTTGTCAAAAAAGTATCACTCAATATGGTTTAAATAACGAAAAAAATGTTATATTACCAAAAGTACGAAATCTAGGGAAGCAAGTTAATCTCTGATTAACGAAAAAAGTTAAATTTATACATTTCATCTTTCTATGTTGTATTTGCCCTCTAGTTTTGACTGCCTGCTTATTATGTGGGATGCTTTTTATTTTTGACCTAGTTATTCCAAAACACACACACACACACACACACATATATATATATATAGTGAGGTTTGTAATTTTATGTTTGTTTGCTTGCTTGTTTTGTAATTAAGCACAAAGCTACACAATGGGCTATCTGTGCTCTGCCCACCACGGGGATCAAAACCCGAAATCTAGCGTTTTAAGTCCTCAGACATACCGCTGTGTCACTGGAGGGGGGGGGTAATTTTGTGAAACTAATGTTGTTGTTTTTCTATCGCATGTGGAACCAAACGCATCTACCCAATATTAAACCGATTAGGCTAGATTATAGTGTTAAAGATAACATTTCATGTGCAATTTCATTTCTTAATATTAAATATCATAAATATATCTATCAGAAAAATTTTGAAATTCTTATTGTAAATAAATTAAGACATGTTCATCATTTTCTATTTGTTTTTGGTACTTTAATAAGTAGTTTTTTTATTAAGATTTGTCAATGACAGTAATCATTATACAACTATCATTATTGTAAAAAATGTCTTAATTATATATTATAAAAGAGTCAATAAATTATAATATACAAAATTAATATTATTTGTGTAATATTTACAAAATAAATGCAATTCATAATAAAGTTTTACTAAAGAATCCACAATAGTCAGTAAGGAAGTTTCACGCTAAACCAACAAAAAAAAAGTTTAAAATGCGGAAAATTGTTAGCTAAGAGAAATATCAGCAATAACAATTCTCAAACAGTTTAATTCTCTACCTATAAAAATAAAAACAGTTCCCGAAAGTAAAAATATACCATAAACATAGTAACAGAAAACATTCAAACTTACCGTCCACTCAGAATAGCCAAAATTGACTAGTATTATAAAACCACATATCTGAAACAAAACAAAGTGTAGCGAAGTAAATTGAATAGAAGGCATATTAAGACGCGACAACCTAGCAATTGCAATAGTCTTGTGGAAGAAGGGTTATAGGCGCGATATCGTATACGTATTGAGGCTTGTGTCTGAACGAACTTCGTCTACTGAAACTGAACCTCAGAACTAAAAAGTGAGCCTAACATTATACTTTTCTTTACCTGGTGGAACATTAGACAGACCTGTTTATGAAGGTCAGACGAATTTGGAAACATTACATCGACGTGCCCTACAAACTGACGCACACTGTTAAGATTCATCGCCCCCCATCCCCATGAAACTTTTAGTCTAGTTAATGCGTGTTATTGTACTCAAACTAGGCTACAACGTAAAGGCTTAGATAATATAGAGATAATGACGATTTTTTTTATGCTTTAAAACTACAAAAAATATAAGAGTAAGTTCAGTGACCCCGTAGGATCTTAGTTCGTCATACAGATGTTTTATAATATTTGTTTGTTTCTTTTGAATTTCGCACAAAGCTACACGAGAGCTAACTGCGCTTGCCGTCCCTAATTTAGCAGTGAAAGACCAGAGAGATGGCAGATAGTCATCACCACCATCCCAAATCAAATCAGCCATTCTGTAAAATTCAGCAGCCGAAATGTCATTCGGTAAAACTTGGGCCTTCGGGTTTGTAAAAAATATAACTAAAATTAACAGTCGAATTTTCATTTTTACTGAATGTTGCGGCATGTGATTTGCGTGGTTTACAGAATGCAGAACTATCCCTCGGTAATAAGAAATTTCACATTGTATTGTTATATACTATGCTTTTAAACTTAAAAATTTACAGTACTTGCTTTACAGTATTCAAAACACTTCGGTAACAAGAAATTTCGTATTATATTATTGTTACGTCTCTGGTCGTTAGTTAATTTTCCGTATAATTTCTTTCCGAAGAAACTTTAGCGATACAAGCCCTTTCTTAAATAAAACTGGTTTATTCTTTCTAAATACAAGTTTGAAATACACTTAATTTCCACAGTCACGCTATAACAAACTCTATAATTCACAACCAACGTCTCAGGTGCTCGACTCAACCATACGTCTCTCTCTGTCCGCAGTTCAATTACCCATT